CTGGTTTCTTCTATGATTCTATGATTTGGGAACAGCCTGACATCTGCAGCGTTTCAATGCCCAAAGATTTTTCCATCCCAAACGTTGCAGCTCCTTGAAACCACAGGCTGAAATCTCGGCAGGGATTACTCACCATTCATCTTTTCATAGGGACTAAATTTTGCTTGATTGGTTTCTTTACAATTACTGCCTCATCCTGCATAAACAAGAAAGGACATGAGGCTCTCCCATGGGAACAGGAGTGGTTTTTCAGCCACATACCTTCCCTGGGCTGTATCTCTGGAGAGCAGAAGGGGCTTCTTTCAGCAGTGAGCAGCAATAGCTTGGAAGAGGTCTGGAGGTGAGTTAATAATTAATAACTCAAACAGGAGGGAGGCACCAGCCCCTGGGAAGGTCTGTTGGGTAGCACACACGGATGTGGAAAGAGAACCATCTGTGTCAATACCAAGCCTTGTTTGCAGCACTGGAGGATGTTCCTTCCTTGCAGAAATTCAAGTTTGAAGCAGATTTCCAATCTTTTGCTTCTCACTGCTTTGTCCTAAATGAAGACATTCCCTTTGTGGCAGGTATCCCAGGAAAGAATTACACCCTCTGCTTTCGAGTAAAACACTCTCAGAGTTTCTGTTCACATCTCATCCAGAGGGTCCCACTGGAACCAGCACACAGCAATCCCAGCTGGAAGGAGCCCAGTGTAATTGTTTCCAGGCATCACCGTGTGCCCAGCACCCTCTCAACTACAAAATCCACCTGAATTTATGAAGTGCTGTCCCTGCCACGATGCCTCAGGAGGGGTGTGAACATCCACAGTGACGCCAAGTCAGAGCTCAATAAAAGCCTCTGTGGCAGCAGGGAAGGAGGGTGGGACTTTTCCAAGGGTTTGCTTGGCAAGAAATCCCTCACTGGATCCTAAATTTATAGCCCTATAGCCACACAGAAGGTTTTTACAGTGATGTGTGTAAAGCTCAGCTGCCAACATCAGTTATCCAGTTCACAGGTTGTCAGCCACCAATCCTGATCTTATCCCATTAGGAGTGTTAGAGGAGGACAAAATGAGACTCTGGGATCCTCCAGAACAATCCTGATGAAGTCAATGAATGCCAAAGGATGAGACATAAGTCTCAGTTAACTACAGGCTCACTACAGCCTTACAAAAACCCTAAGGAAGTGACATAACCTAACGATGTGTGAAGCCTCAGTGGATTTATCCATGGAGTAGGTGTTTGCTCCTCCTGGAACATCAGGTCAGCTCACAGCACTGCTGTTTGCCTGGGATAACAGTCTGGGACTGTCTTAGAGAAACCAAAGAGACAAGAGTATAACAGGTATCACAACAATCCATTACTGAGCCTGGAATTGCATTAGGAAATCAGGACCTCAGTGCTGTACATGTACCCAGAGCCAGAGATAATTACCAGACATCCCTGCAAGGGATGGATCTGAGCTGCAGAGCTGAGGTGACCTGCCCCAGCCTGGCTGCCCTCCCAGTCCCTGCTTGCTGTGCCACATTATCCCAACAGGCACATGGTCATCAGCTGTGGAGCCACAAAGGACACAGAATCTGTTCTTTTTATGCTTTTATGTAACAACAAAACACATTCCCGCGAGTGTTCTTCCCACTGCCTCACCCTGGTGCTGCTGATAGAGCTGGAATATGTTCTCTTCAGCAGGGAAATCAAACATTCCCTTCCACAAGCCTCAACATGCCACTGTGTTAAACACAGGAGACCTTGCTCAGGAGAGGATTTTAACACATTCATTAACAGTTAAAGTGCTGAGTGTTTTCCAGTGGGACTCAGCACAACCACAGCTTAAAATGCACAACCCAAAGCACAAGGTCCCACTTGTCTCTCCATTGAGGTGAGCACCATGGTATGACAAAACTCTAGCCCTGGTCTTTTTCCATGGAGACAAACACTGTGAGACCTTCCTCAAGCTCTAAGTGATGCTAGGGACAACCCTGTGTCACACTCACTCAGGTTTCAGCTCAGTCAGTACCTACAGGAGAAGAAGTATTTTACTTACCTCGTTCAAAACAAAGGTAAAAGCTTCTCAAGCACATGTTCCTCTGAGGTGTCAAGGGCACAGGTGTCTCCCACCAGCTCCAGCTCCTGCAGCAGCTCCATGGATGGCTCTCACCTTCACACATGCAGCATGGAGCAGCCCCAGGTGATGCTCTGCAGGGCTATGTGAACCCACACAGGTACAGACACCCAGCCAGGTGTGCACCTCCTGCTTGGATCGGTAAAGGGAATACTCTGCACTTCTCCAAGGGAATGAGGCTTGGCTGGGGACTCTTTCCACATTAAACACCCACTGGACCATGAATGTCTCCTAGGAAGTTTTACATACAAAGTGGAGCAAGTTTTGTATCTGCTAAGTATAAGATTCCTAAGCTGATCCTCTGTTTTGGGCTGAAAATGATCAGTAACCCAAAACCAGATGAAAACTGGAATTCAATCTTTCAGGGAATAAATTAAGCAAGGGACATTTTATGCAGGAGAAATGTCCAGGGGAAGCAACTTAGGAAGGAGGTAGAACAAGCAGATGTGATCACAAACAGGATCTGTGCTCAGCTAGTACAAAATATAACCAAAATGCCCCCAACAAATGCATCTCCAGAACACACAGCCCAAAGAAACACCACACACGTGTTCAGCTGCTTCCCAAGGAGAAAGTTTGAAAGGAATTTGGGGTCTTTATTTATTTATACAAAGTGCAGCTTGGAAAGGGCTGAGTTGGTGCCTCTGTGCAAGGTTTCTAAAAATAGCACTTGAAAGCAGGTCAGTGCTTAAGAGAAACAGGTTCTGATTGTCGTTACCGAATCGTCACGTGGAGCAAATAAAGCAAACTTGAACTCCATTCATTTCACAAGTCAGGTTGGCACCCTGGAGCGGAGGAGAATCACTTCTGGTATTGATTGATGGCTGAATTAAAGTTTCCTCTCTGCAAAGCCTCTGCTTTGCCTCCTCCTTGTTCACCCATCGTGATACCTGCCAGGAGCCAGGTACCCAAATCCCTCCTGCAGCCACCCCAGCCTCTCCAGGAACTACCCAAATCCCTACAGGAACTACTCAAATCCCTCCAGGAACCATCCCAACCCCTCCAGGAGCCACTTCAACTCCTCCAGGAACCATCCCAACCCTGCCAAGAGCCACCCCAATCCCTCCAGGAACCACCCAAATCCCTCCAGCTCCTACCAGGAGCCAGATACCCCAATCCTTCCAGGAACCATCCCAACCCCTCCAGAAGCCATCCCAACCCCTCCAGGAACCATCTCAACCCCTCCAAGAGCCACCCCAACCTCTTCAGGAACCACCCCAACCCCTCCAGGAACCACCCAAATCCCTCCAGCTCCTACCAGGAGCCAGATACCCCAACCCCTCCAGCATGTGTGACCAGGAGTCAGGTACCCAAATCCCTCCAGGAATCATCCCAACCTCTCCAAGAACCACCCCAATCCCTCTAGCAGTCACCCAAATCCCTCCAGGAATCATCTCAATCCCTCCAGGAACCACTCCAACCCCTCCAGGTACCCCAATCCCTGCAGGAACCACCCCAACCCCTCCAGCTCTTGGGAACCTCTCCCATCACCCCCAGCTCCAAGGCAAACATGGCACTACACAGAGTCTCCCGTTCCATCTGCCCAGCGAGGCCTCTCAGAACCCTGAGAACCCGAGGCACAGCTGCCGCGGGCGCAGGGATTGGGATTTTTGTAGTTTTCACCAAAACTGGCTGAAGTTGCCCCAAAGCGCTGGCAGTGGGAGGTGCTGCCCCCTGGCGGCGGCCGCGGACACTGCGGGGCTGGTCCGAGCTTGGCTTTGCTCAGAGCTCGAGTTTGCTCAGCAATATACACACACAGTTTGACAACCCCCGGCCCTTCGCTCAGAGCTCGAGTTTGCTCAGCAATACACACACAATTTGACAACCCCCGGCCCTTTCCTGCGGTGGAACAGGGCTTTGGAGATTTGAAACCAAGGCAATATTTCTCTTGATTCAAACAAGAACTCGACAGAGCTCAACTGGCACAACCAGAGACTCTCAGCCCCGATGGGTGTCAAACTCAGCTCGTGACATCCACCCAAACCCACCACAAATCCACCAATCTAAGACCACCTCAGTCCCTCCTGCAGCCCAGCAATCCTCAGAATTCTTCTGCTGAAATCCCCAACTTCTTCAGCATCGTTTTCCTGGTAATTTCCTTATGGAAAACCATAAATCGTTGGGATCGTTCACTCAAGCAAACAATCCCATTCCAAATCTTGAATGGTTTAGGCTGGATATTAGGAAGACATTTTTATGGACAGAGTGCTCAGGCATTGGAATGTGCTGCCCAGGGAGGTGGTGGATTCACCATCCCTGGAGGTTTTCAAGCTGAGACTGGATGTGGCACTTG